TAGAAGAGTTCTATTATATAAACTTTAAAGTAATTTAAGAATATATTATTTAGCTTATTAAAGTGTTTTATAGTATTCTTATAAGATAGGAAGCTAATAAAGAAGTAAATAAGATCTTTAATTATATTAAAACTACTATAAGAGAAGAGATTAACTAAAAATAGCTAGAGAAGATAGTATTATATATAAATATATAGTTTAAGCTTTAGTTAATATTACCTCTCTCTTTAGAACTAATAAGCTTATTTATAGTATTTAGTAAAGCTTTTTAAGGAGTTTTTAATATAAAAGGGTAAGAAATAAGCTTATTAGTAATAAAAATAACTTTTAAAACTTTATTTAAAACTATATTCTTAGTAAAAAGTAATTTATATAAGAATTTTTATATTCTCTAGAGATTAAATAGCTTAAGTAACCTATATATATAGCTTAGCTAGCTTTATATAGTTATAAGAGAAGATTAATTTATAGATATAATAGAAAAGCTATAAAGTAAGGGAGTAGAGATTAAAAGCTTAAAAACTTCTAGAAAAAGCTTAAAGAAGTATAAAATACTCTTTAGAAGTTCCCTCTTATTAAGAGTAGCTTAGTTTATATATTTATACTTTATAAGTACCTATTAGTAAGAGTTACTTCTCTTTTTAATATTATATTAATAACTCTTAAGTTAAGAAGAATAGCTAAATTATAAGAAGAAATATAATCTTTTAAAGCTTAACTACTACTTTTTAGTAGAAGGTTTCTTATAAATAGAGAAATCTTACTTATAAAGTTATAAGAAGTCTAAATTATAAAAAGAAATTATAAAAAATATTTTAGGAGATTAATAAGTTTTTAGATATTATTAAGTATATACTTATAAGCTTAATAAGTATAGTAAACTTATAAAGCTAAAAACTTATTTAGTAATTTAAGGAGATTAATAAATAAAAGATACTTAAGATATTTATATTATAACTTTTATAGGAATATTATTTTAAACTTTAATAGCTATAATAAACTATTTTAACTTAGAGCTTTTCTAGTATAATATAATAAATATATTTATATATACTAAGTTTAATAAGATAGTATATATAAGGTTCTTATTTAACTATAAAAAGCTTAAAAAGGTATTTAAGCTTAAAAAGGCTTTATATAGATTTTATTAATCTCCTCTCTTATAGTAGTATTATTTTAAGAAAGAACTAAAGGAGTTAAACTTCTTATAAATAATAAAAGAGGATTACTACTAGAAAAAGAGTTAAATATACTTCTTCTTTTATATAGATAACTATATACTTACTTACTTAATAGCTTCTTAAAAAGAAACTAAAAAAGTAGTTAAAGAACTTTAAAAGAGATATTACTTTAAAAGTAATAAAAGCTTATAATAGTTTCTTAGTATTAAGGTTTTCTATAATTAAAAAATAAAGAAACTTTAGCTTTTATAATTAATTTATATAAAAAAAGTAAGAAAACTCCTCTTATTAAGATACTCTCTAAGGATATAAAATAGAACTTTTATAAAGTATATTAAACTACTTTTATATAAAAAAGAAGTTTTAAATAGTAAAGTTAATCTCTATTAGAGAAAAGTAGAGATTATTTTATATATAGTAGTAATAATAAGATTAGATTTTATATTTATAATAAGTTATCTAGCCTATTTTAACTAAAATTTTAGATTAAAATATTAATAAGTTATAGATTAAGCTTTATAGTATCTTTATAAAATATACTACTTATATATTAAGTATAGAATTAAAGCTAAAAGCTTATATAATACTCTTAAAGTAGCCTCTAATATAAGTTTTAGTAATAATACTTTAAATTAAAAAAGCTTTTAGGGATTTATAATAAAGCTTTTTAGAGGTATTATTATATAAAAAGTAAGTAAATAAATAACTATAATAACTTTAATTATAGAAATAAAGCTTTTCTTACTCTTATTTATAGTTTAAGAAGTAATATTTATAAGCTACTTTATAATATCTCTCTAAGTATAACTCCTTAGAGAGATAAGATAAAAAATATCTTTTTAACTTATAAAAAACACTCTTATAATAATATAAATTTAATATAATAACTAATAGATAGTTAGGCTAGTTATTAAGAAGCTTATCTATCTCTAAATAAGGTTATACTATATTAATATCTATAACTATTAGTTTTATTAAGAGATCTATAAAAAATATATATTAGTAGTATATACTCTTTTTATATAGCTAATAGTAAATAATCTTATAAAGTCCTTTTTATAATAAGTTTTTAAGAACTTCTAAATATAGCTAAGAATAGCTAGTTAAGAAGAAATTTTTAAAAGAAATTATATTTTTAAGCTTAAAAAAGATAAAGAGAGCTAAAAAAAAGAAATAGAGAAAGAAGATATTTAGAATAACTTTATATAATAAGTATAAAGAGTTATAGAAATAAAAAGTAAAGAGTATAAAAGAACTTCTATTTAAAGTAGAAAACTATTAAAAAAACTAAATATTTATAAGTTTATAGTTTAAAAGTAGAACTATCTTAAGTTAAAGCTTTTAAAATACTAAGAAATTATAAAATAAGAATATTTAAATACTTTTAGAAATAAGAATAAGAAAAATAGTTTTATAAGAAGTAGCTAGAGAGATAGCTAACTTAAAAGTATTAAACTAGTTATAGAACTCCTTAAAGTTAATATAGCTAGATTTAAAAGTATAAAAGAGAGTATAGTTAAAATTATAGTAAGTAGCTATAATAGTATTTTAAGTATAACTTAGAGTAAAGTAAAAACTAAAGAAAATATTTAAAAGAGTAAGAGAAGTATAAACTAAAATCTCTAGATAAAGAAGAAATAAACTAAGAAGAGGTATAATAATAAGGAGTATAAAAGCTAAAATAAAGTAATAAATATATAAAGTATACTTAAGAGGAGTAATATCTTATTTCTTAATAGTTTTATAAGCTATAATAACTTTATAAATAATATTCTAAAAGTCTTCTTAAGTAATATTAATTTTTTATAAAAAATTAATAACTATATAGAAATACTTAATAGGAGATAATTTATACTTTAGCTAAGATAGATTTACTACTCTTAGTATACTTTTTTATTTTATAAAGCTTATAATAGAAAATAATAGTCTTTTTAGTACTTATAAAATAGCTATTACTCTTTATATAATAGTAATAATAAGTATTCTTACTAAAGAAGTAATAGCTAGAGTATAAATAGCTTCTACTAAAAGAGAGGGAGTAGCTAAAATAAGGCTTATCTTCTAACTTAAGAGAGAAGTTTATAGAGTTAAAGAAGTTATTAGCGTTTATAATAACTTTACTTTCTTTTTCTTTTTTTTCTTTTTTACTAATAATAGTAATAATAATAGTTTTTATATTAGTATAAATAGCTTAAAGAGTAGCTTCCTCTTTTTCTTACTTCTTCTTTTTAGTAGTAATATACTTAGTAAGGTATTTAATAATATAGTTTTTTTTTTTCTATTTAGTAAGAGAGAAGGTAAGAGTTTTAGCCTCTTTAATTTTCTTCTTCTCTTTAGCTTCTTTCTTAGTTTAGCGTTAGATATTAGAGGGGTAGTTATATTTCTTCTTAATAAAGGTCTTTTTAACTTAGCTATTATTAAGGTCCTCTTTTTTAATAAACTAAATAATAAGGTACTTAATATAGTTAGAAAAGTAAATAAGTAAAATAAGAATAAAAGCTATAAGAAGAAGATTAATAATAAAAAATATTTATAAAAAGAGTATAAACTAATAGCTAAAACTAATAAGAGAAGCTAGCTTATCCTCTTTAGAGTTATTAGAGAAACTAGGAAAAAAGTAAACTAAATAATAATATTTAGAGGTTTTAAGTATATATATATAGCTAGTATAAGAAGTAATAAAGTAAGTTTTATATTTAGTATTAAAAATATTATAAGAAAATATTATAAAGTATTTAATTTATTTAAAGTAAGTATTAATATAGTAGTAAAAAGGTAGTATAAAGATAATATATAATTTATAAAATCTTAAAAGCTAAAAGAAAAAGGGAAGAAAAATAATAAGAGGTATAAATAATAAAAAATTATTTATTTACTTTCTTACTTTTAAAGAGAGCTAAAGTAGTTAGTAAAACTATAACTAATTAGAAACTTTAAGCTAGTTAAGTAAAATAGAAGATATTTTATTCTACTACTCTAACTATTTATAGTAAGAAAAGCTATTATTTTATAACTTATAAAACTATTAAACTATAATAATAAGAAATAATTAAAACTATTTAGAAATACTTAATTAAGCTATAAGGATAACTATATAATTATACTAATTATCCCTAAGGGGGTATGTTAAATTATAGGGGTTAAAATAGCACTTCTTAGCTACTAGGGGGTAGCTTAGATAAATAGATAACCTACTTAATGAGAGCGATAGGCCCTATGAAAGCTACGCGCAGAGTTTTTGCCTATGCCCAGGGATACGTAGTTAATACACATCTAAGTCAATTTGTCAGAAAGCAAATAGTGAAAGATAGCTCCAGCTCCAGCTCCAGTGCCTATTTTGCCGCTTACCGCGCTACCGCCGCGGGTCATTTAATCAGTGCAGGGGCAGGGAGTGAGGGGCACTGTTTTTTTTTTTCTTTCTTGGTGATGTCGAGTAGCCAGACCAACCAGGAACACCAATCAGTCCCAACGAAGCTTGAACCCCTCCTTTTTTTTCTCTGCTCGCCGCCATTTTAAACTTGAGAGGGGCGTGTGTGGGAAAACTGTCCGATCTTCAAACACACCCACCCTAGGTATCCTCGCACTTTCGCACTTTTGGGGGGGAAGCTCCGACCGCGGCTGCTTGTGTGTTTAATTCTATATATTGCACGGCAATCTCCCGGGACGTTCCTTCACTTCCTGACTCTTGCTCGAATCTGTTGTTACGGTAAATTTGTACCTTTAAGAGTATAGCCACAAGCACAGCTTTGCGCGCGCGGAAACCACCCACCATACCACGAGTCGACACCGAGAAGGGTTAGAGAAAGAAAAGTAGCAAAGATGTCGACCACGACAACGACGACCGGCACCGAGGCCATCACGGCCGAGTCGATCCTGCGCCTGTTCCCCGACATCGACACGAGCACCGAGGCGCTGAGCGGTCACGATGCCGAGCAGATTCGCCTGATGGACGAGGTCTGCATTGTCCTTGACGAGAACGACAAGCCCATTGGCAACGCGAGCAAGAAGGCTTGTAAGTTTGGAGCTCCCCCTCTTTCCCCCTTACTAGCTTGCCTTCCTCTGGGAGGCATCTAGTGTGCTCGTCAAGGACGAACAAGGGCTAATCTTTCCTCCGCTACGGGACAGGCCACCTCATGACCAACATCGACAAGGGCCTGCTGCACCGCGCCTTCTCCGTCTTCCTCTTCGACGCGGACAACAAGCTGCTGCTGCAGCAGCGCGCGACGGAGAAGATCACGTTCCCGGACATGTGGACCAACACGTGCTGCTCGCACCCGCTGGGCATCCCCGGCGAGACGGGCAGCAACCTGGAGGACTCGGTGGCGGGCGTCAAGAACGCGGCGCGGCGCAAGCTCGAGCACGAGCTCGGCATCGACCCCAAGCAGGTGCCGTTCGACGACTTCCACTTCCTGACGCGCATCCACTACAAGGCGCCTAGCGATGGCAAGTGGGGAGAGCACGAGAGTGAGTTTGGAGAGCCTGGAGTGTGTGTGAATAGACGACGCTAACGTGGACTGTGCTATAGTCGACTACATCCTCTTCATCAAGGCCAAGGTCGACCTCAACCCCAACAAGAACGAGGTCCAGGCGACGCAGTACGTCAGCGCCGACGAGCTCAAGAACCTGTTCAAGCAGCCCGACCTCAAGTTCACGCCGTGGTTCAAGCTCATCTGCGAGAGCATGCTGTTCGAGTGGTGGGGCAGCCTCGAGTCCGGGCTGGACAAGTACACCAACGAGCAGGAGATTCGCCGCATGTAAATGGTGGAAAAAGAGACAAATGCTTCAATGAAAAAAACAGGATATGGGTATGACCAGTGCTCCAAGAAGCATTTAGACGCGGGAGTTTCTTGTTATGTTGAGGTGTGGCTGCAGTTTCACGATGTTTTTTTCTTGATTTATGATAACCTAGATATCCAAACACGCCGCCTTTTTGTTATACGTCATGAATATGGGTCTCAGCCTTGTTAGAGACAAGTGAAAAGGAGCATTGAGGCAAGGAGACTGGCATCAGCGTGGAATACGCAGTGATGTCTCGTCACGCCGCCAGGTACGTAGATCCAGGCCGTAGAGAACTCTACATCGTGGATCCTGCCGGAACCAAGTTTAGGGATAGGCGGTGATTCAATCGAGTTGTCGAAAGGCGCCACAGCATGGAATATTTTGAAGTTTGGACGCCAGGAAAAACACAAAGTATCTAAGGCGGAAGCTGCCAAGACGAATGATCAACCATCACTTTCACTGCATCGCATGGTCAATTACCTCGTGCTATGATTCAAATGATGGGGAAGAACATGTTGATTAGGATGGTGAATGAACCTGGGCTATGGCGTCAGAAACTTGCCTTCTGTCAGCGGCTTGCCACGCCATTCAACGTTGCCCAGCTTTCGGAAGTAGCTCCGGAGCACACCTTCCCAGCAAACGGGCAGCGACGAAGTAAGCACACCCGCAGGCCGCCCTCAATTCCTCGGTTACTTTCGAACGTTGCTGCAAGATTTCCTTCTCTGTTGTTATTCTCGATCCAACCGCAAAAGCGCAGTCAACGTGCGTCTGCGTCACTGCGTCAGTCAAACTTGGTGATTCTTGTTCGTCGCCCATCAGATATCATTCGTCTTCTTGACAGCGGTCGTCGCTGTGTACCCCACGAAAAGCCATGATCTTCACGCAGCCCAATCCCGCATCCGATGCCCAACGTTCCGTACCTGGACGTCGCGCAATCCCACGTCGTACAAATGCTTCACGGGAGCGCCAAGACACCCTGTGCCACTAAGCAGCCACGCATCACTGCTCGCCCAAAGCCCCTCCGACTCGGTGTTTTCAACGATCAACCTAGTTACCAGCAGAAACTCATCTACGGTGATTACGTTCTAAACGATGGAATTCCAGTTGACTAGGCTAACTTCGTGCTTGCTGCAGACAGCTTACATACGGCTGCGAGCCCCGTTTCAAGGGCCAAAATGTTTACACAACACTGCCAACGTCCATGCCTTCCGTCCCACCATTCCTCTCCGCCAACGTAAGACGAGATCGATCCGCCACCCGCAAAACACCACGACAAAGCCAGAGAGTATTGCGTCTGACACGGCAACGGTAAGGCGATCCTCGTCTATGGGCTTGGCGTATGCACCCCACGTGTGAAGCTGTCAACGACTCGTCACATCACATACCTTGTTGGTGCAGCGCTGCCTTATCAGAGCATTCCTCGGGACAATCGGGCGCTTCGGCGAGCCTGTGCCGTACAGAGCCTCTGGCATGCCAAGACCCCTCACCTGACAAAGCTGCAGACCGTCCTCAGCGGAAGCTTCGTTGGGCCCGGCCTGGATTTCGCCCTACGTCGATTCGCCCGCTCAGCGCTGGGGGCGGAACGGAGCACACGGTGCGGTACGCCCGGACACCGCCCGGGACGGCCGTGGCTCCACGTCGGAGCTGATAGGCACAGTGGAACGCCTTGGCCGCGTCAGGTTTCACAGCGAACTATGCCGTTGTTGGCATGTGCATCCGCATCGATTGGGCGGGCTCCTGGACTGCAGGGTGTTTGGTTCAAGATACGGGGCACAGAGAGCAGTCCGACTGATGAACCCTGGGATTTGCGTCCCTATCTCTGGGTCCAGCTGGCCAACCTTTCCCCGCACACCCCACTCCATCCTCCCGTCACCAAGACACAAACAAGCAAGACTCAGGATTCATCCGTTGTGCGCCGTTCACTCCTCAACCACTTGACTTCTGCATATACTAGTTGAGCAACACGGCGGTCATCCCTTCGCGCTAGAGGGGCAAACGGCGTTGGCTGGACTTGCATACCCGTCCACGCCGGTTTGCTCAGTAGACCACCAGTGCTGATGCGGCACACGAACACATGCTCTATTCCGACACAGCTAGCAATCTTCTCCTGAGCTCTAAACCCAGGTCATCCTGGTCTGCCCACCCCCCATGAGCTTATACGGCGCTGTCCTCGTGCCTTTCATTACGGCATATCTGGATGGTATCGAATCCCATCAGCATGGTTTTGGCTAGTGTTGAGGCAAGCCAAGGCGGATACCAAAGGCAAAGCTGCCCGCATACTGTCGGTGCAACCGGCATAACCTCCCCACGACTCAGTGTGTCGTCGGTGTCCATCACCTGTTCTCGTCTTATTCGGCCTCTGTTCTACAACAGATAGCAGCATACCTACGAGCATTCCTCTGCAGACGGGTTGTACCGTGTAGACGCACAGCAACGGCCGATCCAGCTGTTCGACACTTCCTCTCAACATCCCGCTACCCACGGCCGCCACTGTCTGAGTCCTCGCCCCAATCCCAGCTCCATCCCACGCAGGGCTCCTTGTCCCTCCACTTCCTCCACCCTCCTAGCCTGCTGTCTTACTCTCTCCCTTCGTCTCATCCCTACCCTGTGCGGTTGGTCTAGTGACACCCCGAACTACATAATCCTCTTTCTTCTCCGCTCTCCAAACGAGTTGCTTTTCTGGCACTCTCTTCTTCATACCATTACACTTTGGATAGGTTCGCTCTCGTACAGTTTTTACCTAGGTTTCTACCTGGTCAAGGACAAGGATCAAGTCCTATCTGTATCGAGAGTTCCTCGTCTCAAGGCCCCAAGTTTCTGGGGGCAGATCTCTGGACAAGAACACAGCTACGGGCTGTGCTTTGTTGCTAGACTGCTGCTCACTCGACTTCAATCGAACACAGCACTTACTCAAGATCTCTCAAACCATATCTCTTTCTCGCCCATACATCTTCATCTGATACTCTGCTTGACAACGCATCGCCAGTCCCATATCACATCGTTCATCGCACCTCGTGAAGGCGTCGTTTACAGCATCACGCTAACGACCCTCTATCGTTGCTTCGATCCCACACCCATCCAAAGGATCTGACCCGTCAAATCATTATTGATGTCGGTTGACCTTCGCACCAGCCTCAATTGCCTTCGCCATCCATCCAGGTTTATGCCCGTCTCGAGAACGCAGCTCTCGAGAGTACACACGGGCGACAGTATACAGAATTTAAGTACGTCTCACGGTGGAGAGACGACGACGCATTGCAGTGACTGCGGCTGACCACGTTCAGATTCGTGAACAAGACAGGCTCTCTGGAAAGAAGCCCGTCATGGAGCACGTAAGCAAAAGCGTCACCCTCGTCGAGCTCAAACGCTCTCTCGTTCCCCCGAAATGGGAGGATACCGTGCGTGTTATTGGCATGTCGGAGTGCAAGGAGGCCGGCCTCTCGCTGGCCCATGCCTTTGCTGCTGATGAACTTAGCCAGTACCTCCTCGACGCCGATGACATGGCCAGCTACTCGGCAGAACACAAGTGGAAGCTACATGTCGACATCATGACTTACATCACAGCCTCTCACTGTTACGATGGACTTGTCACTACCATAGGTCCCGACCACGACGGCGTCGCTCTCTGGTGAGTAATCTTGATACTTCATCATCCTGGGCTCTACCATCTATGGAACTACACGTCCTCATGATGGGTGATGCTCTGAGTTTGACATCAAGGTAACTCTGAGCTAACATCGGACGGATACATACAGGATGCCTCCCGGATCGGTCGACAATGGTTGGCTAACTATCCTCCGAAGTGGTATGTGGCGGCTCTACTACCAGCTCACCGCGGAAGGCAGGAGTCGGTACTATGACGAGTTAATGCCCCTGCTACACGACACGAAGCATGAGGTCATGGGAGAGCGGGACAATGACTGTTACTATCTGGTCTATCTAGGGACCAAGCCCAGTGCCCGAGGCAGGGGGTATGCGCGGAAGTTGCTTAACGACATGATTGAGAGGGTACGTCTCGGCCATTTCTTCCTTCAGAAACCATGACTCTGCGTCCGCCATAAGGACTGCCGCTCTACTTCGTTCACATAAATCCCACTAACAAGCACAGGCCGACGCGGAAAACCGCGCCGTGTACCTAGAGTCGAGCTCCCTCTCCAATAACGTCTACTACAGCAAGTTCGGCTTCGAGTACAAGCGTGAAATCCGCTTGACTCGTGGGAACACCCCCGTCAGTCTGTTCGTCATGGTCCGCGAACCGATCCCCCGCAAAACGGGGGTCTACTCGGCCGTCGTGGCTAGCAACATCAAGATGCAAGTCAACACGGTCATGAAGGAAGTGTCACTGGTGTGATTTCGCGGTGCAAGGCCTGTCAGTCACCTTTCCCCTGAAATGGAATAAGTGATGTGATGCTGTCAGATGATGTGGTTGTGTTCTTCTTGACAAATTAGGGAATTGTTCTCGGGTGTTTTTCTCGGTCCTGTCGGGCTTGCGCCTGCGTCCAGTCTGCTACTGACCTACGCTCAAGTGTTCAACCTCCCCTGAGGGGCGTGCCCGATCCAACATCGGCGCATATTTATTTGACTCTCGCACACAGTCTCTGCCACAGCGGGCGATGAACATGTGACCCGGTTTTGCGAATGTTTTTCATTTGGTTTCTTGCTTCGCTTGTATCTACCAACTAGCTGTAGCCATTCATTAGAATAACGACCAATTCACTCATTTCATTCATACAACTGGGGAAGAGGCGCGTTCTTGTGTTTCCGCCCACCTTGCCAACTCTTTTTCTTCTCATGCTGGGATATCAGCCCTCCGCCAACGCATTTTGCGTTCTTTACAACCCGCACCTACACACTCATCTGCTCCGTTCGGCTTCCAACAGTTCGTTTGATATAAGTAAGCCACCAGATCAGTAATCGAGGATAGCCCACGTCTCGTCGTCGATGGTGGTGTAGATCAGACCCTGGCCCAGCAGCTCGTCCGCGGCACCCATGACGTCGCGTATGCTCAGGCCCGCACCCGTCGAGATCTGGTTGATATGCACGCCCTCGTTGCCGCCGGGCGCGTTGTTGATGAAGTTGAACATCTTTTGCGCCGCGACGGAGCACCCCCTCAGCTTGCCCGCGTGCGCAGACCCGCCGCCCGCACCAGCACCGCCGGCACCGCCATCGTTCCCGTAGTTGTCGTTGCCGTCGACGAACATGCCATCGCCGCCGCCACCGTTAGCGGCGCCGTTAGCACCCAGGGGACCCTTGGTGAAGTAGAGGTGGACGTAGGTGGACTCGAGGAGGTGGTAGTTGACCTCGTTGAAGTCGGTGACGGGGCGGATGAAGTGGGCGCCGACGTGGCGCTTGCCGTTGAAGGACTTGATGCGGCCCCAGACGCGGACGTGGCCCTCGAGGTCGAGGCCGGCGGCGTCGTCGTCCTTCTTGTCCGTGTCGACCCACTTCTTGGCCTCGATGAGACCCGTGCCGTCGTCGAGCTTGAGGGTGATGTTTGTTGGTTGCGGGGAGATTTGGCGGATCTGGGCGACGAAGGTTACCTGTGTGGAAGGAGGAAAAATTAGCAAAAGAAAGTGATTTTTTTGGAGGGTAGAAGGGGAAAAGTAAGGCGGAGGAGAAGGGGCAAACACGAACTTGTGTGACGGTTGCTCCGTCGATTTTGAAGTCGGCGCCCGGGTAGGCTTCCTCTGCGTCGATGATCTGCTTGATCGTGACGGGGCGGAGGGATTCTTCGCTGTACGCCTTGCCGCCGCCGCCGCCCTGGCTGTTCTGCTGCGAGCCGCCGTAGACGAAGCCGCCGGCGTCGTCGCCTCCCTGGGCGCCGTATGATGTTTTTTGGTATCCGCCGTATGCAGCTGTTTTCAGTCAGCAAGACAGGGTCTTTTTTCTTCTTCTTTTGATTGATGATAATGGAGACAAGTCGGTTGGACGTACCCATCGTATCTGTAATTGTGGTATAAAGGATTGGTGACGCGGGAGATAGGGGAGGCGGTCGATGGGGAGGGGTGATTTTTTTGTCGAGATGCCTGAAAGGGCGGTTTAGTGCTGGGGACGCGTCTTTACGCGTTAATTGATGACTGGACTTTGAACGGCGGACCCGGCGGCGGCGGGCGGTGGGTGCCTGTGCCATTGCATGGTTGCCCCGCGTTGGGAATGTTGCTGCCCTGCGACTGGGTGGATGTGGGGTGGTGATTAGGTAAGATGGACGGGATGTGGTCTGTGCTGCTGAGTGCCGGGATCCAATTGATGTCACCGTCGCTCGCGGTAGTAGGTAACTTGATCTGATCGATGAAGGTCCAAGATACAGTGAGTTGAACAGCAAGTTGTACTGTTTCATGGCTGGAATCACGCAGACGTTGATTCAATTATAATCACAAAATGAGTACTGGATTTGTACTTTTTCGCGTTGTTTACCCCCGTAAATGCCTATCAAACGCAGGTAGTCAGTTGAGTGAGCAGACGCTGCTCAAGACATGTGCAGCAGCTCTTTACTCTGGATCAAGATACAGTCATCAAAGGATCGTGATAGATATTCCCGGGATTCTACCCGTCATTCTTTGCTTTATTCTCATTCATATGTCGTGTTCAACTTGAAGTGTTTACTATGAGACGGAATGCGAGTTACCCGATTCAGGGTCTTGGACTCGCAGATGAAGGTCCAAAGTCCGCTCGGCGTCACATGATGGAAGAACAATTGAGTCTTCTATGACAACCAGAACATTCAATGTTGGACCTGGTTTCTGAGTCGAATGCAACATTGGTGTGAGTGAAAGCCGACTGAAGTCGAGGCAGCTCAAACACCACCCTTGCTTTCGTCCGAATATTGAGGCGGGATCACGGTGTCAGCCACGGCTGATGGATCTTGAAGAACTCCATCAGATAATGGATGCATTGGACGAACATATTGACCTCAGAGAACAGTATTCTATGTGCTGGACACTGCATCGAACTGATAGAATCATTCGCAACACTCAAGGACAAGCACAGACAAATTGGGCAATGTTCCACGAGTTTCTTCCCATGTTCGGTGGTCGGTGTGGCGGCAGGGTCCCGAGCCAAAGATTAGCCTCGGCTGATGGCGCTGTGGAGGCTCCCGCACCCCGGCTTTGACAACGACTGGCCCGCTGCAGTGACGCTGCACCGCTATCACTGGGCAGTGGGCGTGGACGCTTCGCGGGCAGTCTGGAGACATTGGACCACCTGCCGCGACCGGGGAGCTCTCTCCTCTCTCTCCGCCGCCGGCTCCCCCATGCCGATGCTTCTGACATCAACCATCCCAGCACCATCAAACCCAAACTCCCTTTTCCTTCCGCCACTGCCACCCGACCGACGCTGCTCGATTGCGACATCCTCACCGTCACGTTCTTCTTCCGCCCAGCAAGCCACTTCGATTGCATTCTACGTACATTTTCGGCGCAACGTTAATACAAACACCACTGCCAACGCCTTTACCGATCTCTCAATCGCCCCATCGTCACCACTCCTGGTGTACGTGAACCGATAGACAACAACAGCCCATCCACGATATCCGAACCCCCCTTTTTACGGCTTCCACATGGCGCGATCACAAACCAAGACCCTCCCCGTCATCCCCCTCGCCCGCGGCACCATCCTGTTGCCCGGTGTCACTCAGCGCATTCCCGTCACCGCCGCCCGACCCGATATCCCCGCCCTCCTCGCAAACGTCTACGAGCGCGCGGCCTCCGCCGCCCCCAACGAGCGCATCGACTCCGTCCCCATCGCCTGCGTTCCCGTTTCCTCGCCTTTCGTCGGCCCCAACGGCCAGCTTCTCATTCAGGATGCCGACCAGGTAGACGAGGCTCTCATCAAGGAGGTCGATCCCGGTACCGCCCGCAAGGCCGACCTCTTTAACTACGGCGTCGCCGCTCGCATCACCGGCATTGAGGGTAGAGGAACTGCCGAGTTTGCGTTGCGCGTGGAGGGTGTCGCGAGAGTCCGCGTCGAGAAGGTCACACAGGAGAGGCCGCACTTCGAGGCCAAGGTTAAGTACTTCCACGATGAAGGTCAGTACTCGTGCCCCAACATCACCAACGGCGTCACATGCTGACATGCCCGGCCGCAGTCTCTGCAGATGCCCAGATGCAGGAGCTCTTCTCCCTCCTGAAGTTGCGATCAAGAGAGCTCGTCACCATTCTCCGCATATCCGCCCTCCTCCCCAGAAGCCCCGACAGCCCCGGCGGCCTGTCGCCCCTGCTGACTCGACGTCTCGAACTGTTCATCAACAAGAAGGAGCTCAAGGACGCCGGCAACCTGGCAGATTTCATGGCCAACATCGTCGAGGCTTCGTACGAGGAGAAGCTGGAGGTGCTTGCGGCCCTGGATGTTAAGGTTCGCCTGGCCAAGGTCATTGAGCTGCTGGATCGTCAGGTCGGGGGTATTAAGAACAACTTCAAGATCACAACGTTTACCAGCGTGCCTGTCCAATTCCTGGACAAGATCAACGACCGCTCATCGCGCCGCGTTGGTCCCAATGGCATCCCGATGCCGCCGAACACCATGTTCCCTCCTGGTCCCAACGGCGTCATGGGCCCCAACCAAGACGAGGATCAGGAGCCCAATGAGTTGGAGGAGCTCAAGAAGAAGCTGGATAAGGCGCAGCTGCCGCCGGAGGCTGCCAAGATGGCCGACAGGGAGTTGAGGAGATTGAAGAAGATGATGCCTGGGAACCAGGAATACCAGGTCACTCGCACATGGCTCGACGTGCTCGCCGAGATCCCCTGGACCGTGACAACAGACGACAGACTGGGCCCCGATACTCTGGCGAGAGCCCGCAAGCAACTTGACGAAGATCACTACGGCTTGGACAAGGTCAAGAAGCGCCTCGTCGAGTACCTGGCCGTCCTGAGACTCAAGCAGTCCATCAACGATGATGTCGAGGAGCAGATCAAGAAGGCCGAGCAGGAGCTGGTCCCGCCGGAGTCGGACAAGGACAAGGAGGGCGAGACCAAGGAAGAGGAGAAAGTCGATGCGGAGCAGGAAGAGCGATCGAAGCTGGCCAACACAAAGCTCGAGGTTCTCCGGTCAAGGCGCATGGTTGATAGGTCACCGATCATGCTTCTGGCTGGACCACCGGGTGTCGGCAAGACCAGCTTGGCGAGATCTGTAGCCACCGCGTTGGGCAGAAAGTTCCACCGAATCTCACTGGGCGGTGTCAGAGATGAAGCCGAGATTCGTGGTCACCGACGGACATATGTCGCGGCCATGCCCGGCTTGATCGTGCAAGGCTTGAGGAAGGTTGGAGTGGCGAACCCTGTGTTCTTGTTGGACGAGATTGACAAATTGGGCATGTCCAACTTCCACGGCGACCCTTCCGCAGCGATGCTTGAGGTCCTCGATCCGGAGCAAAACAACTCGTTCACGGATCACTACGTCGGACTGCCCATTGACTTGAGCAAGGTACTTTTCATCGCCACCGCCAACGACCTGAACACCATTCCGGCGCCCCTCCTAGACCGTATGGAAACCATCTACTTGCCAGGCTACACGACGCTTGAGAAACGGCACATTGCAATGCAGCACCTTGTGCCCAAGCAAATCCGGGTCAACGGTCTGTCGGAAGACCAGGTCCACTTCGACAAGGACGTGGTATCCAAGATTATCGAGTCGTACACCCGTGAGTCAGGGGTTCGCAACCTGGAACGCGAGATTGGCTCCGTCTGTCGTCACAAGGCGGTCGAGTTCGCCGAGGCCAAGGATGGTGGACAGCTTGAGACATACAAAGCACAGCTGACGGTTGAGGACATTGAGGACATCCTGGGTAGCGAACGGTTTGAGGAGGAAATTGCCGAGAAGACGAGTCGACCCGGCATCGTGACCGGCCTGGTGGCGTACAGCTCGGGCGGTAACGGCAGTATCCTATTCATCGAGGTTGCCGACATGCCTGGAAACGGCAGCGTGCAGCTTACCGGCAAGCTGGGAGATGTGCTCAAGGAGAGCGTCGAGGTCGCCCTCTCTTGGGTCAAGGCACACGCTTATGAACTGGGCCTGACGGCGGAGCCGACGACCAACATCATGAAGGAGCGCAGCATTCATGTCCACTGTCCGTCTGGCGCCATTCCCAAGGACGGACCTAGCAGTGGCATTGGCCAAGCCATCGCCCTCATCTCTCTGTTCTCTGGAAAGACAGTTCCCCCAACCATGGCCATGACCGTAAGTCTTCATTTACCAACATCCTCCCTGATAGGCTGTGTACTGACACAACATGCTCGTGCGACAGGGTGAAATATCCTTGCGAGGCCGTGTGACTGCCGTCGGAGGCATCAAGGAGAAGCTCATCGGCGCTCTCCGGGCGGGTGTCAAGACGGTGCTACTCCCCGCGCAGAATCGGAAGGATGTGAAAGATCTCCCGCAGGAGGTCAAGGACGGTCTCGAAATTCTCCACGTCAGGTAAGTCCGACCTCAAACACTCTCACCCCCTTACCTTGTACTCTCTGCCCCCTCGCTTCCTGAAGTCGTCCCATTCCACCAACAAGCCCTCCCGTCCGTCCCATGGCGTCGTGTCTCCCCGACGCGGTGCGACTCGATGCAAACCTCGCAACCCACTCATCACTCCCTGGTCCTGGAACCGTTCCCATTGATCACGCAGTGTAACTGACGTTTGTCCTACTTCAGCCACATCTGGGAGGCCATCCGGCTCGTCTGGCCCGATTCCCAGTGGCCCGGCGCTGAGCCGTTCCCTCCCATCGAGAGCCGTTTGTAAATCAGGAAAGTGGGAAAACGTACCATTTTCCAGGATAAGGAGACGCAGCAGCCGCGGATTTGTACTAGCCAACTCAACACCACCATCATCATCGGAACCGAGGCCTAGCCGCTTATTCTCCCACGCAAACCAGAGTGTATCTATCGACAAGTGGAAGCGGCATAGCACGGCAGACGCGGACAAGAGGTCTCGGTTTCATTCGGCGTTTTATCGAAAGTATGGACTTTGTTTCTTGCATCTTATTTGTTTGGGTCTCGGGGCATGTGAGAGGGAGAATGAGGGACGCCCCGTCAGTGAGAAGCGGTGGCCTTCATAGCCATGATATGGAGCCGTTCCCGTCTGTATGTAACCCTTTTTGATAGCTTCGCAGACGCGGAAGAATTTGTATTCTACTCTGAGACGAGTTTGCGACGTGGCCCTGAGTAGTTATGTTTATTCAAAAACTTGAGATATCATGTGTCGTGTACACTATGCTCCATCCAGGGGCGTTTGTCCTCCCCGAGAGTTTTCAGCGCAGGGTCACTGGTCCAGTGTTCATGCACCTCGGATGGATGTTTCGTCAGATCAAGCTGAGGGTGTAGCAGATTGAGTGCATCCGCTCGAAGCTCGCGGATTTATTTCTCCATGGCCATGTTGTGTTACAACGCTTGATACGGCGACCGGTACGTGGGCTGCCAAGGTGGCCGAGGGAGGAGGGTACCGTTGCCGAGTATATGCGTTTCTTGAATTTTGTCTTTGCCGTCAACAGACGGACTGGGAATAGCGAAAGAAGAGGCGGGATTCCTAGATACAAATCCATACCGAGAGATTCAGCAGACGAATGTCCTTTTTTCTCTCTCTCTCTCTCTCTTGACATGGTTTATGTATGTATATATCATGTGTCTCCTGTGCCTGGAAGACACGTCATCCCAAGTCTAGGAGTTTGGATCAACTTGGTTTATGAAGGGGGGATTCTTGTATGATTTCACGTAGGTATCGATGCCAAAGGCGTTATTCTATATTAAGCTAAGGGTAGATTCGTCCGCAGAGGGCACGCGTAAAAGAGACACGGAAGCCTATCAAGAAGACGGGCCATGCTCTCAGCTTCAAGCGGTCAAGAGGTGGGATTGGGATAGTGGGCTTTGTCAAACGACGAGCTTTGAATTTTATGCATTCCTTTCTTATCGGGATAATTTACGAATGAATGGAGGGGGAAGATCGGATACATTGTTGTTAGCTATATTCCTAGCATCAGTACGAAACAACGAAGATCTCACACAGGACAATACCCATAGAAGGGTTTTTCCGTTTGTCTTTTTGCGCGGTTCAACATCAATATTGATATCTGAATATTCAGCCCTCAATATCGAGATTCGAAACGGACGTCCCCTCCCCGCCCGTCCTGGATACGCAACAGATTCTAAGAATTTTACTTGTAAAACCAGTTCAGCGCCTCGTTATTGCGTGTCTGCGGGAAGGTACCACGTCCATGTCATTGCCAGAGTATACTCGCTTTCGCATCCAACAATCCCTCGTCTCCCGTCGGTGAATTGTGCGTCATTCGAAATCGAAGCAAGCGCAACACGCCCGTACGTTTCGTCTTAATCTGGTTTATCTCAAATGCCCTGCCGGCATGCTTCCGCTCTTCGAACGGCTGCCCGCAGCCAGAGCAGGCCGCGGCAACTTTCGGGAACCCAATCACCATCTTCCCAAGTTTCCTGTCCAATGGGTCGTGGCCCCATCACTCCAGCCCCTCGCTTCCAAGACTGCGGGATGGGGAAGTAATAGTCGTAGTAGTCTTGAGTTGAAGTAAAATCGGGGCATGTGAGGGTTGACAATATTTCCCAGTGTAGGGTGCATCCGCCCCTCAACTTGTTAGCTTCTCTGGGGGAATCACGAGGCTGCCGAGTGAAAGCATTGTCCCTTGCAAGAACTTCATGGCCCCCTTCTGCTAACGTATAATGAGGGCGTAGATTGAAGCAAATTCAACCCGGTGGATGAGAAAGAGAGGCAAGGTTGCATCTGTGGCGGTCCTTTCCGCTGCCATTGTCGAAGGAAGTACCCGAAGTGTCCGCGAGCACCAGATAGACGGTTACCTCCGGCCAACGTAGCACAGGGCCTCTTTTTCTTCTTCTTCAGCTGGCATGGACACATACGCCGTGGCCGTCGTCGTCATCCGAGCCCTTCACACACCAGCCGGATGCACACGCCCCCCTTCCCTTTTGTCGATATCCCCGTGCTACAGCATGAACCAGAAATCTACTGGGACTCGATAAGCGAAATCTCTTCCGGTAGGTCTGGTGTAGCACGGAAGAGGGGGGATGGCCATGTTGTCACGGGGACTTCTTTTTTTCTCCCTCTCTCTTTCTCCTATGCATGATGTCTTCTGTGTCACAGTCCCTCTCAACCTCCGCGGGAAGGCCGTAGTGCGGGTTAGAGGAGGGGGTGAAGTGTAGATTCTCACGGGGAAGAAACGCAGATAGAGATCTCGGCGGGCATTGCTGAAGGGCACGCCGGACCGGTGATAGTCTGCAGGACGGAGATTCCAATGTTCCCCACGCTATTGTCTCTGGCGTTCACGTCGTCAATGATGGCAGGAGGCGGCGGCGGCTCGACGGCGAAATAAAGAGGCTCTTATGCACTCATCGCGAGCCCGTCCGTTCGTCGCTGCCTAGCTCTGTAGATCGAAAACCCCCCCGTTTGGAGAGAAGATCCAGAGAAAGAGGAAATCTCCTGGGAAAAGTTCCGGCCCCTTCTCCCCCCGCCAGAGCCTCTGCGATCTCCAGCCACAAATCTCCTTGATTGGGAGTTGGCTCCTCTCACCTTTGAGAAGATCTGGGAGGCTATTGGCAGAATCCCAAAGACGGGAATGATGGGGCCGGGAGCAGCCTTCTTTCGCGCCGGCGCGGGCGGAACATATCTTCCCACTTCCCCCTCCATATCTCCGAAATTACGGAATACGGGGGATTCGTTTTTCATGGACGGGCTGTGCCGGCCCCAAAGGCAAAGGGAAAAGAGAGAAGTCAGGGCGTTCTAGACCTAGTGAATGCAAGGGCAATCTCGTGTTTGGAGATGAGTTTTTTGAACTCTTTGACACCAGGCAGCCGGGAGAGGCTCAATAGTCATCTTTTGGACTAGAACCTTGACAGCATCAAGCCCATCGTGGCTTGAAATCGCAATTTTGACATCGGATGAACGTCCTTAGCTTGGCGTCTTGTTCGTGGGTGCCAGTTTGAACTTGTGTCGTTACACACTACACGCCCCATCCGCCATTGCGCCTCTGCTCAGACGCTAAGAGCAACGGCTTCGACGCTCTCGAGCCGTAAAAGTTGCTGACGGGCGTCTAGCGGCAGATCTAGGAGCGCCTTCGTACAAAGTGCCGGGGGCCATGTGGCTGTAGATATCCAGTAGTGTGGTCTCTCGGGCTATTTTCCCACAGATGCTAGCATGAACGAGGCGGTTTGTCTTTGAGGAGACTTTTTGGCGCTTGTAGTCAAATCAACGGCATCAAAGACCCGACGATATTATGATGGGGGGTGGAAGCTTCAGCCTCCTTGTCAAGGGTTTACCGCCTAACGCTACTGCGATGACGTCGAAGCTAACCAGCTTCACTCCGCAAGTCTTTGTAGGAACTCTGATGAATCTCGGAGCAAACTTGCGAACTCACCAAGCCTGCTCAAAAGTTTATCAACACGACCTCGAGGCTCCAGTCATTTAGCATCCTATTTCCACATCGTGAGAGATTGGCCTCGGTCTGTCGAGTCGTTGAAGCTTATTGTTGATTGACAATTCGCCCGACTTCATTTGCCGCGTACGCAGTGCAGCTGCCCAACAAGATCAACATCAAAAGTTGCCAAGTTTGCGCCTGGTCCATTAATCAAGTGGGCTCCTCGGGGACGTGGTTCAGCATTGTTGACAAGTGACAAACAAAAGGGAAATGATCAGGGTCGCCATGAACGCCATTGTCGGCCCCCCTCAAGTGTCACAAAGAGGCTTTGTTGGAGGCATATTGACCTGATGGCTCGCGAACTTCCTTGTGTTGCATTGACCTCCGAGTACCTTGCGACACCAAATCGTTGGAAACACTCAATGATACTGATATTGGCGAACATGTGTTCCAGCTGCCGTGCAGCCGCGGCGACCCACGGTCGTTCGTATATCCGTGGCAACACAAGATCCTTCGACAATGCGCAAATTGCCCTGCTCCATCTAATCCGATATGGTATCGTTCTGAACGATCATGAGGGGGATTGCTTGACCGGACGGGGCGCGTCATTTTGTGATGCCAGGGCTCGGGGTGAACTCGAAGAGGGGTAAGCATGGCCATTCACGACCGAGCAAGGCGCCAATCTTCGCCAGCCGGACATGCTGTCATGTCTGGAGTGTGCGCGACCAAGCAAGCTTTGTGCGGGTACAGTTGAGAGAGGTACGGATACGTGAGGCTTAGGAAGCAAGAGAGTATGTACATGTACAGTCTCTGTACACAGAACACAATACCAAGTGCCAGGGGTCGGTAGGTGGTTTGCCGTCCCTGTCATCCATCTGCGAGCCCTTCACAGCGGCTCGGGTGAATCTGCGGCCTGGGACAGGGGCCTGAAAAGTTCGTCTGATGTCTGTCAGAGCTCCACGCTGAACATGCAGCCGGCCACACGGGCACATGCAGCGCAGGCCATCAGAATCGGATGTGCTCGTCAGGTTGGTGGAGCCGTCACAAGCCTTCGTAACGACTCCACCGCCAATGCGCGCGGGATGATAATCACCGAGTGGCCCAGAGACCCTTGGCCGATGCGATGGATGATGGTATGGATGGAATCGTCCAAGGCAAAGCCGTGGCCTGTCTCTTTTGGCTGGCCGGTGAGGACATGACAGTTGCATCCGTTGTCGTGCCGCAACCTATCATGGTTTTCCGAGTGAGTCTAGACGTTGGTGAAGTCGGCTGTGCGTCATGTCTCCAGATCTGGAGCCGTCGTGCCGTCTGTCAAGACACCCCCAACTTCCAAGTGGCCTCTGCCCTGGCCATT